TTTAATAACCACAAAGAATGAGTTCTATAATATTATTTATTTTCTTTTCCAGTGTATTTTCTGAAAGATTCTAATAGAAAACATTTTCTCCAAGATTCAATTTAAGTTGTAGCTCCACAGAAACACTCATGAAAATTTGTACATTTCTGGTGGGCCTTTCTCTTGGAAAACTCAATGGAATGCAGAAAATGATTGTTGAAGCCCACTACATGTAGCTGCTGTGCTTTATAATGATCTTCTTTGTAAAGAATTTAGTTAAGGTTTGGTATGGTAAAACTAGTGCATATGATTGACTGAATTGGAGTTTAATTTTGTCATTGTGATCTTATTGATTGATTGATTGATTTATTGATTTATCTAGTAAATTCATTCATTCATTCATTCATTCATTCAATTACTTTTCTATTAGTCAATCACACACTATTAAGGTTTTGTTAATAAGATAAATAATTTATTTATATATTACATATAAACTAGATTTTATTAGACCAAGTGTAAATTTAGAATTTTTTTATTTTTTTTATTTTTGTAAATTTAGAATTAGTCCTCTTACTAGTTAGGTTAGAGTGTTCCTAAATTTAAATTAGATTTTATATTTATTGTAAATATTGATTTTATTTTTAATTAACTTTCAACCTCCTAGACAGTTTTTACTGTTTTAGGAGCATCCAGAGCTCGACATTGCGACCATTTTTTTTTTTTGCACTGGAGACTAACTTTTCACGCTTTTCACTGAAATACTTTTGCTGGTGACTAAATCTGAAAACTTAGGGACCAGTTTTTTTTCCTGAAAGTTGAGCCCTGGCATCCAGTTAAAGCATTAACAGCATTAAAGGGCTGCCACTAAGTTTTAATTCACCTGTAGTCTTGATCTTCACACTCATAGCAAACTTGTTACTTTGAGTGAATCCCATTTATTTGACAGCAGGCAAGTTCACCCACCATAACATCAAGAGCCAATCAAGCATGCTCAGCCATAACAGGTGTTCAGGTCACAGCCCTTAATGACAGCCCTTGAAATTGTACAGTGTGTAACCTTGCATGTAATGTTTTTAAGGCTACATACATGTTGAGTCGTAAATGGTGTGTTATAAATCTTTATTTCCAGGCAATGTGCCTTTACTGGGCAGTTTCTGCCTT